GCTGCTGCAGCCTCCGTGGAGCTGGGGGGCAGAGCAGTGATGCTTTCCCAGCTGGGATCAACTGCAGGGGCTCCCACTCCCCCCGAGCACTCCCGGTGCTGCAGGTGCAATGGAGGAGCAGCCGCTGCCCTGTGCTGGGGCTGCAGCACAGCTCCTGCCCACAGCACTGGAGTTCAACAGCTCCTAATGAGGCAGGGTTTGTGCGAGACCTGGCTTGAGCTCGGGTGCCTGGATAAGCCGCTTTGCCCGTGTCTCGGCCGGGTTTCGACCTGGGTGCCTTCCTCTGGGGGCAATGCGGGCACCCAGATTTCAGGGCTGAGGGAACCTCCACAGAGCCACCACTGCTCCCATCCTCGGCACGTCACGGCCACGGGTCCAGACCTTCTGCCCCAGACCCCAGCTCATCCCACTGAGCACCACTGGGTGCAGTGGGTGATGCTGGGGTCTCTCTGTGGCTCTCGGCCCCTCTCACCCTCCGCTCCCCCTCCCTGTTTCTCAGAACATGCCGAACGTTCGCGATCACGACGCCTCGGTGTATCTCCGTCTCCAAGGCGATGCCCTGTCTGTGGGTGGATATGAGTCAAACCCCATCTTCTGGGAGGAGGTGAGCGGTGCCGGAAGGTTTTCCGGGGGAACGAGGCAGGTTTCCAGGGAACCCACCTCAGAGGGTGGGCGCAGGCGTGTGTGCCTTGGCCCCAGTGCCTGGGTACCAGGTGTGGGAGAGCATCTCCCCTTTGGGTCTGTTGCGGCAGGGATACGAGATGCAGAGGCAACAGGAATGAGATGGAAAGGCTGGGCTGGGGAGATGCAGAGGCCACCCTGTGGTCCCTGCCCTGCTGCATGATCCCTTATCTAGGTGTCTTAATTTGGGCTCGCCCCAGACCTTTGGCTTGTCTGGGCTGTCCACAAAAACACAAGAAACCACAGTTTACAAAGCAGCCTCGATTTCCTACAGTGTCCAAGGCTGCCAGAGCTAAGAGGTTCTTAGGCCATCAGCTGTGCTCTGGTTTGTGTCCTGACTCCTGTTTCCCATCTTCAGGTATCAGAAAAATTTGCTTTTGGCCTCTTTGACCTGGACTGGGATGTTTTCATGCAACACATTGAAGGTGCCATCAACAGAGTTCCAGTGCTGGAGAAAACTGGCATTAAATCCACTGTCTGTGGGCCAGGTAATGCGGCTGCGGTGGCAGTAGAGTGGCTGCATTGCTCCAAGGATCTTGCTGGAGGCAAAGGGGAAACTTCATAACCTGGGGAGAAGACAACTGAACACAAAGAGAGTGCCTGTGGCCTGGCTGCAATGGTGTCATCTCCCAAGGGGTGGCATCAAGATGGGAATATTCTTCCCACTCTGGTCTTGCCTTTTCCTGAGCACAACAATCCTGGGAAACTGCTGGGCATTGCTGGGTGGGGGATGCCTTCCCTCCTTCCTTTCATATGGATGGATAAACCCCTGTAAAACAGGGAGGAGGACTGCACACATCTGCCAGAGCTCAGCTCTGTCCCTCCCAGCTGGGACTTGCACAGGCATCATGGTTGAGAACCCTGTGGGGAGCAGCAGCTGCAGTATGAGACGTGGTTAGTGCAGGAGCCTTGGGCAACATCAGCAGCAATCTCTCAGCTGAATAAAGTAGCTCAGATTCATGGAACTTCCCAGCAGAAATCAATGAAGGTGAAAGATAGTCATCATCATGAAATACAGCCCAGCTGCTGAAGAGGCAACAAACAGGTCGGTGCAGCCCCCTTCACTGGGAGACTGGGAAATATAAAGAGGCTGCTTCAGATACTGCAGCACCTCATGCACTTCTAGCTGGGGATTCATTCTGCTGTACAGGTTTTCAGTCTCAACCCTACCACCAAGGTTCTGTGGTCACAGTGCTGGTGTGCAGTGAGTGCGGGGGGCACGGCTACCCTGAGCCCGGGGTCCTCACCCTGCAGGGACAGACTGTGCAGTGCTGCAGAGGAGCTGCTGTTTGAGCGTCCCCCGAGTGCCTGCCCTGGCACATCCCCCTCTCTATCTTGCAGAGTCGTTCACAGCCGACCACAAGCCGCTCATGGGGGAAGCCCCAGAAGTCCGAGGGTTCTTCCTTGGCTGTGGCTTCAACAGTGCTGGTAAGAGAGAATTGGAGGGATCACACCTTGGGCATCCCTGCGAGCATCGTATCCCTGGCAGAGCCTGGTACCCACAGCTGAGTTGGCCTCAGTATGGTCCTTGCCTCTTCGCCATAGGGATGATGCTGGGAGGTGGCTGCGGGCGGGAGCTGGCTCACTGGATCATCCACGGGCGGCCAGAGAAGGACATGTACAGCTACGACATCAGGCAGGTCACCCCAGCTGCCCCAGGTCCCCATGGGCTCCATCGCTCATGTCCCTCGTCCTTGGGTGGTCCTTGGGGATGGGTTTCGAGGCTGGATGCCTGCATCGGGCATAGGTGTCTGGGCAGCATCTGTGCCACAGCCTTTGTCCTCCAAGGAGCTGGAATCAATTATGCTCAATAGCTTTAATAAATTTACACATGGGGTTTATCTCATTTGCCTCATTCCGCTTCTATGCAAACAGCTTCCATCAGACACAAGGAGATTGCGGTGATGGGAAAGGACAGGGTAATTACATTTGGGTTTTGTTGTTGTTCAATTAGTGCTGTGCCTAATCCTCTAAGTTAATAATCGGGGGTGATGATTTCAACAGGAGAAAGATTAGCTTCCCCCCCCCAGGCACGGCATGGGCTGGGAGCTTTGGCTGTACAGATGTTGGCTCTGTAATTGCTTTTGACTTGCTTGATTATACTTGATTGGGTTTGGGCTTTCTTACAGGGCTGCTAGTGACAGCAACCACCTTGTGAGGGACAAAGCTTTAAAATCATATTGCTTGAGTGGCAAAGCTGGTAAACACCCCATTGACTCGGGCTGGCAGGAGAGGGGAGTCAGTGCTGGAGCCCGCAGAAGTCGGCAGGAGATGCCAGCCTTTGTGCCTGGATTAGCCGAGCATCCCCATATCCCATCTGCCCTGTCATCAGGCTGGTGTCAGTCCCAGTTTTTTCTGTCGGTGACAATTACTAAGCTTCTCTTTAAATAACTCTCTTTTCTGCACATTTAAATATTTATCCTCTCAAAATACCCGCTTGTAAATATTTCATCTGGCAGCTGCTGCTCCTCTTGTCGCTGTCATAAGCTCAGCTTGTCGGGGAAGGGGCTGGGGCTGACGGGGCAGATGGGATCCAGGGATGCTCCAGTCATGGCTTTCGAAGCATCACTTGCACTGCTGCAGTGCTCTCCCAGTGCCTCTGCTCTGCATCCAGGCAGGGCGAGAGGCTGAAAGTGCTGTTTTAAAAGGCCCTAGAGATGACATTTTGTCTTGCCTTGGCCAACTTCAGCCTCCCTTTCTCCAGCCCTGGGAAAGATGCCACCGGTGCCTGGAGCCGCTCTCCATGAGTTATAGCTCTCTGGTAATAACAACCTGAGCATGTGCTGAGCTGACACATTCCTTCAAGGAGCTTTCTGTTTGAAAGATGAAAATATGTCAAAACAAATTTAAAATGCTTTGGGTTTTATTTATATTTCAGCCTAACGAGAATTGGATGAAAAATGTGAGGAAATCCAGGGCTCCTTCCCTGGTCAGGGCTAGCTTTAAACCTGGCTCTGTGCAAGGTGCTCTCTGGGGCCAGCCCCACGCTGAAGTGGAGCAGAACTAACATCAAGTTCCCTCTTTTTTCTATTTCCCATGCCCCGGCGGGGCTATTTTCTGCTCCCAGTTGCTCCGGGGTTGATATGCCTGAAGCAGGGCTGGGGAGCTCAGTGGGGCGAGGCGCCAAGGGGCAGCGCTGCAGCATGGCCAGCACCAAGCCCCTGCGGTTCCTCTGCTCTCCCACCAATGACCTCGCTGCAGGAACTGCTGTTTGACACCAGAGCAGCTGCATCCACATCTGGGTCTGGCCAAGAGGGCCATGCCGAGGAGGCAGCCCGTGAGCTGCTGGGCTCACCCAGACCTCTCCCTGCCTCCAGGAGGTTTCACCGCTCCCTCACCAACAACCACCGCTGGATCCGGGAACGGAGCCACGAGTCCTATGCCAAGAACTACTCTGTTGTCTTCCCCCACGACGAGCCGCTGGCGGGGCGCAACGTGAGGAAGGACCCACTGCATGAGGTAGGACATGCACCCCAATCCGGGCTGCTGTGCGAGCAGCGATGGGAGACCCCACAGCACAAAAGAGGTGGCAAGGAGAGGCTGCAGCTGCACTGCTTCCCAGAGCAGCATGCTGCATCCGTGCTCCCAGCCATCCTGACAAGATCCCTGCTGAATTCCAAAGCTTGCTGGATGCATGCTGTTGGGGATGCTGCTACCATGGAGAGTTTAATGGTAGAGATGCAAAGCATTCCCACGATATTTAACCTAGATGTGACTCAAGGGAAGAGTGGGGAGAAGGGCTCAGAGGCTTATTCCATTCACTGCCTGTCCAGGGTGAGGGCTGTGGGACACTGAATGCTCCCCTCTCAGAGTGCGGAGCAAGGCCGGGCCATGAGGAGGGATGTGGGATGTGGGGAGCAGCGGTGCCTCTGCTGAGGCCCTTTGCCATCACCCCCTGAGTCCCCGGCGGGGTTCAAGCGGGGTCTGGCCCCTCCTCTGCCTCCCCCAGCCGCTTCCTTGCACGTGTCTCTGTAGGTGACCACTTTCAAGACGCAGCACTTGAGATAAAACCTCCCATTTCCAGTGTCCTCCTGCACTGGCAGCGCTGCAGCTGCGCAGCCCAGAGCCCCAAAGTCACCCAGAGCTCCTGAGGTGCTCGGGGTAACCCAGGGCTGATGTCTTGTCTCACCTCCTCCGGCAAGGAGCAGC